AGAGTAAACAAAAGGCTTAGAAAAAATAAATTTAAATGTTTTATTTTTCTCTTAATGGTTTTCAAATTATTCCAATTATAAAATGAAAATAATATCACATTTTACTTGAATTATAATAGAAAAAAATAATTGAAGGAGTTAAGTTTGCATAGAAAACTTGGCCAACTTCTATATGAAATTCACAGTCTGGAAGAAAATGGAAAGGAGGTAAGGAACAAGAAGGTAAATGAGCATCTATTTCATAAAAGCAGAGTGCTGTTCCATGGAAGTAATAAGGAAAAAAAACAGGCCATATCCAAAGCATTCTTTCCTAGGTGTTAATAAAAACCAGCAGATACTGATAACCCTGATGGGTCAAGGTTATAACACTTTATTCCCAACTTACCAAACAAAGCCAAAGCACTAAGCTACATGCAGGGCTCCTCTCAGCACCAAGCTCGGGTCAACAGTAGGACAAGCCCATGAAGCCAGCCCTACTGTTGACCTGAAATCTAGACAGAACATACTCTCTATAAACAAGCACAAATCCATAACAGTTCCTTACCAGAGGGGCAGGCTTCTGCTGCCACCACTGTACCTTAACTTGGCCTGCCATCTTAAACGTGGAGATGCAGAGAGATCAGCTGGGCCTTAGGTGTCAGTATGAGTTCAGGGAACAAACTGCAAAGATACCCAAGCACAAAAGCAGATGACTTAAATAACGCCCCTCTGTGTCACTTTTGAGCATCACTTGTGAATGTTGCCAACAAAGTCACAGTGGAGGAAGAGTATGCACAAGGAAAGCTGCACAGATTGGTATATTCTTACAGCTTTAAATTTCAGTCTGAGCAGAGTTGAAAAAAATTAACCATTACTTGTAGTGTAAATTCTAATTGGTCTTAATAATAAAAATTCGGAGTTAGATATTAGGGGGTGAAAGCCGAAAGATCCAAGAAGCAGAGCATCCAGCCTCTAGTTCTTACCGCTATGAAATCCTCAGACTGTCTACAAATCCTCAAACCGAATGCCATCTCTATGAAACCTCAGATTGAATCCTCAGCACCTGTCTCCTCCCACCTTATACTCCTCTCTCTGCCCAGCCATATCACTCCTGTCTCCACCTTCACAGTGCTTGGATTAAAGGAGTGAGCCACCACCACTAACTCTGTTTCTCTTTTACACTGATTCAATCTCGCATAGCCCAGGGTGGCCTTGAACTCTCAGGTCTGCCTCTGCCTCTGTCTCCAAAGTACTGGAATTAAAGGTGGATGCCAGCACTGCCTGTCATCTATGGCTGACTAGTGTGGCTAGCTCTGTACTCTGAACTCCAGGCAAGCTTTATTTGTTAAAGCACAAGCAAAATATCCCCACAGTCACTCCCAACTTCTCCTGGTTCAAATATCAAGAAAACAAGAAGTAATTAGAAGAGGTTGGAGGGTTAGTTACTACCAAATAAGCTTGATCCAATTAAAGTTACAGCTAACCCTAAGCTCAACTCAACTCCAAGAAGATTCTAGACCAGCCAGCCTTTTACTCTAAAAGCCAAATAAAGAAAAATGCCTGTGTGTTCCAAAACTAAAGACAATTAAATCTCGGCTGCTTTCCACAATGATTGTTACATAATGTTCAACAGTAAAACAATACAGAACAACCCAAGGCAGAAAAATGAGACTCCATAATCCAAGGGAAATGGTGCCAGTATAAATCAAGTTCTTGGGAAGACACCTACTGTAATAAGCAGACAAGGACTTAAAAACTACTATCAGGACATTAAAGATTTTATAATCTAGAGATTGAATAATAGTGCATGAAGAAGACAATGGGACCGCTCTGTAATCCCAGCTACTCAGCAAGCTGACACATGAGGATTCCAAGTCTGAGGGCTTCTTAGGTCATTTAGCAAGATCCTGACTCAGAAAGAGGGCAGTCTCTGCTCAGGACTATGGATTTAACCTCTGTTTCTTAGATTAGGCTCTTTCATAACACATATGGATTAAATAAGAGAGATTAGAACTCTTTTGAATAATTTGGGCCTACTCTTGGGTAAATGACACAGACTTAGTCTTTCTTTTATGCAGGATGGCCACACTAATTCCTACCATCCTGAATTAAATTTTCCTCATACAGATTTCATCTAACTGTCGTAAACAAATAAGCAGCCCCAGGCTTCTGAACTTTACAGACAGCCGTGCAACGTTCCCATGCTGTCTCATCTGATGGAAGTCCCCCAAGAAAATAGGGGCATTCATCTCTGGTTGCTTTCCATAGCTAAAAATGTGAGTGAATGACCCAGGGTCACTGTGCAGTGCATTCAATTTGGGGGCCCTGGGTCCCCCGGATTTTTCTTTCACCTTTTTTTTTTCAATTTCAGCCTTTGCTCCCCACCATGGCTTGTGGCATGGCAGCTCGGCAACAGGGTGGATCACACCTCCAGACAAAACTCCCACGGCTCAAAAAAATTTGGCTTCTCCATACATGTGACTGCTGCCATCTTAACTGAGGTCAGGTGACCTTATGGCCATCTTAACTGAGAGCCAGGTCAGGTGACCAAGTTCTGTCATCTTTACTGAGGTATTCCCTGCCTGGTTCCCCGGTGCTGACTCTGTTACATGTGTGTTTTGCGCAGTGGAGTGCCTTTGTAGGGCCTACCAAGAACATCCACTTTACCTAATTCCCAGTCAGTGTATGTGTGTGTACATACATATAACTTAAACGCACCTATGTTTACTGTTAAATGTTATAATTGTCTGTTCCTTCTATCTCATTACACACTACAAAGCAATAGGTCTCATGTTTTAAATTGGTATGTACTTTTAAGTCTCTTAATTCAACCCTGCTTTACCTGTTGAGAGCCAGTATAATCAAGCTTGGACCCAGCTCTCCAGGCAGATTCTATAATTTATCTATGCCCAGTACACAGCCCTCAACTGCTCAGAGATCTGGGGAATATGGCATTTAAATATTTAATTATTAAAAAACTTTTCATAACAAAAAGAGACGGGTTGGCTCTTGGCAGCTGCACTCTATTTCCTCCAAAGAAGACAGAAGACAAATGGGCATAGAACAATGTCCTTCCGCAATTCACTTCAACTGCCAAGCACTGACCACTGGACAAAACTGCCTTTCATCTAAACTGAAGATCTCCAGACAGTGGACAGAATCATTGGAATCGACAGCCTAGCTGCTTAGGTCAAGGTAGGCTTGTCTTCCTAAAGATTTCTTAGCCCACAGGGTCTTCTGGAGCCTAGAAGGTCCTGCGCTAAATAGCAAAAGGAAAATATGACCTTCAGCGGCCATGGAGGACCCTGAGGAGTAGCTCTAGGTGCCAACTAAGTGAGTTCTCTGTCGTTTTTTAATCAATAACTCAAGTAAAATTTTATCCTTCTCAAAGATCTCTGATGCAGTTTGACAGCTGAGAGGTTTTATTGTTTAAAAGGACAACCTCACCAAACAAATTTCAGTAAGTTACAAATACAAGTTATTAAGGTGTGTACCTGCAAGTTATAAAGGTGTGAGGACAAATCAAATTTCTCTCTCATGCTGCCTTCCATAGTCTTAAAAATACTTTTCATTATGCAAAAACATCTGTCACAGTCATTCTGATGTTTAAAACTTATGTTTTAACAAACCCAAAAAATTCTTGTAAGTTCCAGGGAGCTGAATTAAAGGATCCACCTTAAACAAATCTGGAACACCCCTCTCAATTCCCTGGTCCTAATTTTTTCCCCCTAAACTTAACTTTGTCCTCTGTTCTGCCAATACCTTAAACAGGTGTAAGAGACACCAAACATCTCCATACCACAAACATCAGACAGGAACAAAGAGACCAGCACCCAGCTTTCTCAGCCCCCCCCCCAAGACAACACCCACAAATAAGCAGGAAGCAATCTTGAGAATTCGCTGCCCCAGTTCCTTTAACCCATTGTGTTAACCTCCCACCTTTTTATTATAAAAAAAGAGATGGTAATGTATTGGTCTGTCCTGTCCCTTTAAGAGATAAGCCCAGCTCTACCCACTCCCTCAACCCTGCCAAGGCAGGTAGATCTCCCTTCCTCTTTGCAGCCCAGGCCTTCTCCTTTCCATCTCTCTCCCAAAGAGGTTGCTGCTGCAATGGCTCCTCTCCTCTCCCCCTCCCTCCCTCCTTCCCTCCCTCCCTCCCTCCTTTTTCTTCCCTCTCCCCTTCCCTTCCATAACCCACTAATAAATATCCAACTACACACTGCACGGCGTGTCTGTCTCTGTCTCTCACCCACCACATGGCTCCCTGCCTGGGACCTGCTGCCTCTCATGGTCTGTGGGCCACTCGCCTTCATGGCCCTCTGTGGTTTGGGGACCCGCTGCCCACTGCTGCTACTCGGGGACCTGCAGTGTTTTATTTTTACCATAACACTATTAAAACTTTTTATATCAATTCTAGTGTGGTAAGTATCAGTACCCTGGCCTTATTATTCGTGAGTCCACAGAGGCTCTATTCTTTTTCTCCCATTTGCTAGTCTCTCATAATTCACCACACACTAAATAATTGTTTGATATATGATAGTTTTGGTTCTAACTTAACAATAATTTTTTTAGGTTTCTTTGAGGTGGGACATAGAAAGATGATTTAATAAGTTATCCACATATATTCAAAAGTATAGTAAGTGCCAACTCTGCGTGTTTTATGACATCTACCGAGCATTAACTACCTGACACAGCCACATAAAGCTACAAGTCTGAGTTCTCTTGAATATAATATTAGGATGGGGGTAAAGCGGAGTGTTCTGAGGAGTTAGCATTTTCTCACCAACTCAGGGAAACTACCTCAAAAGTGCTTTTCTGGAACTCGTTCCTAGTTCCTCAGCATGGCCACTGCAGGCAGCACAGCCGGAAGCCCACCGTCCCTAAGGGGCAGTTTACGGAGAAAACAAAGGCGGGACTTCCCTTCCGGAAGGAGGTCGACCGGCTTGTCCGCAGGACCCTCCCTCCGAGCATGCGCAGCGCTTAGCGTCACCGTGGCCCTGGCAACCGCAGCTCCCGCCCAGCGGTGTCCTGCAGAAAGCGTTCCGGGTAGGGTGCGCGGAGTGGAGGCGGTGTGGACCGCGAGTTCGGCGTGGAGCAGGTTGGCCTTCCCTCGGGTCGGGTGGCTGGGGCCGGGGCCCCGCGGAGGTCCTACTGCGGGCAAGCGCCGCGATTCGTGCCTGTGGGGACAGATTCAATGGTTTGAGGCCTAAATGACGATTTACCAGGCTTCCCAACTCGGGGAACTCAATCCTGGCAGGGCCAGCTCCCTGTGAGCGCCATTATGTAATTCAGGCTTTGGAGTGGTTTGAGGGTGGTCACGGAAGGAGGAAGACAGGGGTGTGTATGCTGTTACCATCAGCCAATAAGCAGACGCGTTTCTTGTGTCTGTTTCTTGGGAATGTAAGACAAGACTTTGCATTGATAGTTCCACTTGGTTGGGTAAGAGTAGCGATGCCTACCTAACCTTGCAGCATTTCAGGACTGCTTATGATTGGACTCCAAATTAAAACTTGGAAGACACACTGCCTGTCATATAACCTGTTCTGTGGAGGAGGCTTCTAGTTCTGTGTTTTTTTAAAAAATGGAGATATCTCGGATGTTTTAAAAAGTGGTTATTGTGCCTGTACAAATTATATGACCAATTCTTAGTACTTCACAAACAGATATTGAAAACGGTTTTGTGTGATCCTGAATTAGTTCACAATTCAAGATAGGTCTGGAGAGATGGCTCAGAGGTTAAGAGCATTGCCTGCTCTTCCAAAGGTCCTGAGTTCAATTCCCAGCAACCACATGGTGGCTCACAATTCAAGATAGGTGAAATTTAAAGACTGTTTCCTTAGGAGGCAAATTAGCTTACTGTAATGGAAAAGCTAACCTTTTACTTCACTTTGAGGAAAATAAAGTTAAGTATCAGCCTGCCATCTGTACCAGGCTGTGCAGAGCCCGAAAGTTGAGTAGTGAGATTCATCCTGGATGCCTTTTACAGAATGGTTTTAATTCTGTGGACAAGTATTTGAATATATCTAAAAGTATAAAAAAATCATAAATAGGTAAATCGGAAAGAATTCTACTTTTGCCAGAAGGAAAGTTTTCCTGAAGGGAGCCTCTAAATGAATACATTTCTCCATATCAAATATGTGGACCGAGTAATAAGTACCCAGAAATGTAAGACTGGTCTTTGTCTGTGTGGATTAATAAGGAACTGAATTAGAATCTGACTTTGCGCCTAAATATCAATGTTATGTGCAAAGGAGACAAGATGAAACTGCATGAATGTGATTAATTTTGGAGACATTGGGTAGAAGGAAGAATTATAAATTATTTTTTTCAGCCTAAGTTGCATAATGAATAGATCATTAAGATGCTCGTTTGTTGGTTTCTTGGGAATAGCCATTGTTTCCCAAGTCTTTCCAGTCCCCCACGACTCCAGCTGTGTCTCTCTTCACATATTTAGGCATGCACTTATATCCCCCATGTCCTCTTTTTCATTAATTGTCATCACACACACATACACATGCATATACATAACCTGCACAGAAAATATTAAGTGAGGAAGTTCTTACATTGTTGTTTCTTTACTAGAGTGTCTGAGGGTATGTACTTTTGAAAAATTCAGGAGGCTTAAGATCATATGTTTCACCTTATGGCATATATATATATATATATATATATTTACAAATACAGTTGTCTGTAGCTGTTTCAGCGTTAGCAGATGTATTATGGTTGACTAATTATAGTTGGAGTGGAATATATCTTGTAGAGCATATGTATGTTAGGAAGAACAGAATGGCGTGTTTTCTTCTCTCACTCCATAATCATCATGGATACTGGTGATCTTAAAAGGTGTGGGGATTCCCCCCAGCAGTAATTCTATGGTAGATGCTAGTGGATGTCCTCAAATTCAGCCCTGACATTACTGAAGACAGTGTCAGAATCTACAGGCTGACAGTTCAGTTCCCAAGATTGCTGAAACCTCATAACCACGCCCAAGCTGGGCCTTCAGAATTTCCTCCCAACTAACTACAGGCTGAGATTCCTTCAACCCCTGTTTAGATGCATTTGATTTGCTCATGTGGCCCACAGATCTTAGGAAACATTAGTGCTTGCATTGACTAGTTATTATAAAGGATATTTGAGCAGATTGAAACATGCAGGCAGGCAGAAGTAGGGAAGGGCCCCACGCTCAGGCACTTCCTCCTAGTGCAGTTGAGGTGTTACTGCCCTACGGTGTGTGAATGAGTTCCCCTTGTGTGAGCCCCTGCATAGTCAACTGCCCAGAAGCTCCCAGAAGCCCCTGCCTTGGGTTCTTACAGAGAGTGTTTTGTAGGCTGACCTGGTAGCAGAGTGAAAGGGAACCATCAGGGTCTGTTGGTTCTTCAGCTGTCCTTCCTCCAAGGTGTAGGGCAGAACCCATTTTGAAACGGGCATTTGTTCATCTACTATGAAAGTGGAACAGTCTAAACTTAGACTTTCTATGACTTGCCCTGGGACGGAACTTTAAGCAGAACAGTGGTCAGAATCAGGGGAAGAAGAAAAGTGTGTGTGTTCACAATAGCTTATAATAGTCAACTGATTTTTCGCTCTCGCCACTGTTTTTTTAAAAACAGAATATTTTGGTTCAAAGAAAGAATGGCTCTCCGTCCATCTGTATTCCCTCAAGAAAGTGAAAAAAATCATGGAAATTGTATGGAAACAAAACAATCCCACACTGCTTCCGTAGCTTCAGAAGACCCGCTTCAGAACTTACGCTTAGCATCTCAGGAAGTGCTCCATAAGGCTCAGCGGAGTGGGAGGTCACGGTGCCTCCAGTGCGGTGGCTCTAGGATGTTCTACTGCTACACCTGCTATGTTCCGGTGGAAAATGTGCCCACCGAGCAGATTCCACTTGTACAAGTAAGAGGCTTGTTTTAAAGATAGCTTATGCCTACTTTGATACATTGGATGAGCTTGGAAGTGAATTGTATTAATGGACAATTTGACACTAGTGAAACTATATCTCTTTCTTGTTTCTAGAAAAATCACTTGAGTTTGAAATAAATTAGATAATTTTGATGACATTAATCAGTTTAAAAAATTAATTACAGAAGACAGTTTTATAGTCTCACTTGAAGAAGCTTCAAAAACGACTTCAGGTCCTTGGGAAAACATTGTAGGTGGAATCAAGGTGTGGGAGTTTGCCTGAGGTTCTGTGACTTTCCCCATCGGATATGTAGAATGGAGCAGATGGCCACAGCCAATTCTAAACTAAGCTAAAATGTAAAGGGCTGGGCCCTTCACATTGGACCCTGTTGTGATTACGGTGATTTCAAACCACTTGGAAAGCTGACTTAAATCCATTGCTTTTCATGGTTTGTGGTATTTATCAAGACTTTTTGTAAGTAAAGTGTTAATAGATTATTTACATGTAATTAAAGAATTTATTATGTATGTGTTAACTTGCCTAGCATTGACCAAATGTGAGAAGCAAGTATATTAAGCATGATCAGCATGTATTACGACTTTAGAGAATTTACTTCTACACCTAGCACAAATGCGACTTGTCACTAACAAGTTGAAGTTGAGTTCAGAAATATGTATTGTGATGTTTAATGTTTATTTAGACTTGAACTATGAAAGACAATTTAATGCTTATTTTGTTACATGAATCATCTTACAAGTCCATGGTGTCCTGGGCGGGGGGCTCTAAAATCACACATAAAAATGAAGACAAAGTTTATTGGCCAAGAATGCGGTAATACATTTCCAGTTTGCTCAGGAAAGAAAATAATAAAAGTTTGAGATTAAGGATTTTTGTTAATGTCCTCACTAATAGCAGCGGTACACGTCAGAGTCCTGTCTTCTGTTTATGCCATAGCCACATAAAGAAAATGTTTCGTTAAAAACCTTACCTTGCCAAGTGTACTTGCAGAACTCGAGAGGCTGAGGCAGATTGGTTAGGAGATTGATGCCAGTATGGGCTATGAAGTGAGTTTGAGGCAGGCGTGGGTTACTTAGTAAGACACTGTCTCAAAAACATTAAAGAAAAAACCTTTTTATCTTAAAGTATGTTCAAAAAAGGGTTGTAGATCAGAAAGCTAAAACCTGTATTTATAGGGCTACTATTTTGATAGAAGTTTAACAAGTTTATTTTCCAAACCAGTGGCAGTCCTCACCGTTTACTAGAAGTACTTAAAAACCACGCCAATTATTTGACTGTCTAAAATGTATATTTTAGTGCCCATAAAATTTGATATATTGATATACATTAAGAGAAATAGTCCAAACAATGTTGTTTGTAAATTACACCTCAGTTTTAAAGAAACCTTCAGCATTTGCTGCCAGAGGGCTTGCTTGGGAAGCTGAACACAGGAGTAAGTCCCTCTTACCCCTGAAGTTTTAGTCTGGGCAATTGTGATTTGCAAGGGAATGGCTTGTCAGCTCATGTATTTGAATACTTGATCCCCAATTTTTGGGAAAGTTAGGAGATAAGGTCTCATTAGAGGAGATGTGTCACTGAGGGCCAGATCTGAGATTCAAGAGACTTGTGCAGTTCCCAGTGCTCTCAGTCTCTGCATCATGGTTGTGGGTTAAGATGTGAACACTCAGCTACAGCTACTGCTCTAGCACCATGTCCACTGCCCCCTGCTATGCTCCCTGCTAAGATGGTCATGGACTAATGCTCTGAAACTGTTATCCCCAAATAAACTATTTCTTTTATAAGTATTTTGGTCATGGGGTTTTGCCATAGCAACAGAAAAGTAAGACAAGAATAAATCAAACATATCTTTATTTGATGCAGAATTTGAAAACTATAAGAAATGAATATAGATAAAAAAGAAGGGAGAAATCCCAAACCTCCAGCTTCAGCAGCCATGTTTGAAAAGGCTGGCTTTGGGGAAGCACTTGTGCCTTCCTGCTGGTGGCATCTTGATATATCTGAGCAGAAGCGTGTGTGTTAAGTCTCTTGTTAAGAACATAGCCACTGGAAGACAAATGGGCATCCTGTTGCATGTTCAAAGTAGACCAGCTCTTCCAACTGCCCTCTGGTCTGGTCAATGCTGTAGTGTTTACTCTGCCATGTCAGTATTTTATGTGATTCTCCTGTCAAATGGGTGAACCAGAACACGAGTATAAATTCCCATCACTTGATGCACTGAAGATGGCCTAGATTGGGTCCTGAGTTTGTGAATTGTGTGAAATTGTCTTGTAATTGGAGATTTTAGTCCATAAAACTTCCTTTTCATTATACAATTAAATTAGTGTACATCATTTGCAAAACTCATTAATAACATTGGATTCTGTGTTCTTGTTTGGTTTTTATTCATTTTTAAAATCCATTCTGTGTTCTTGATGTGAAGTCGATCAGAGCTATTAATGTGAGCCTTTGGAGTTTTAAGCTCTGCTCATCAACTTGTCTGTGAGCTGCCTACTTAGATGATGCATTTCCTACAGTTAGAAATTGTTATGCTGATTTCATGCAATTGACCCCGTGTCATAATGATGCGTGGGCTGAGTGGGATGAAAGAGAATAATGATGTTGAAATCCTAGTTGGAAACTGTGTGAGGTATGTATTTGTGCCTGCATCCCTTGGAGGTATACTGTTTATAGCATCCTGTCTTCACATAATTGTTCAGAAAGAAAAAGAAAGGAAATGTGGTTTACTTTGTAGTGTATAGCAACCACTCTAAAAAGTAGCCTTGGAGGCACCCGAAGGGTCCGTCTCACCCTTTCGTACATCTGTCCTTCTTCACAAGGCAGATTCTGTTTCCTAATGCAGCTCCTCTCTGGATTCCGAAGGTGAGGCTCTCTCCACAAGACTCCATCTTGCTGCCTCTTGTGTGATTTCCGTCTCTGCTAATGCTGTCCCACTTCAGTCATGGCCCGTGACCTTGCAGTTGCCTCTCCACTTAAATCCCGTCTTTAATGGGGTGGGGTGAGCCGTAGAACAAATGATGAGCGGTATCTAGGCATTTCAAAGTTGTTATTTTGAGTTAAAGACACCAGATGTAAAGACCATATTTTATTATTCTATCTATATAAGATCCTGGAAAAAGTGAACCGAGGTGGGAAAGGAAGAAGAGAGGATACTAAGAAATTTTTTGACGGTGGCAGATCTTTTTCTTGATTGTGGCAGCTGGTTCATAGATATAATGTGTATTAAGATCTATTAGAATGTAGATGTAGCATATCTGATTTTATGCTGGAACAGTTTTCTGTTTCAGAGTAAAATGACTGCTTTTCTGGGCCTGTTTGTAGAGCTCTTACCTTCTTTGAATGGAATGATGGTCTTGGAGTTGGTAAATATACTTACTAAACAACAGAGTCTGAAATGAAGAGACTTAAATAATAAAAAAGAAACAAATTAGCTCAAGAAACCCAAGAGAATTATTATTTTTGAACAGAAGAATTAATCTGTACTTGACTAAGGGAAACACTTGGACAAGTGTTGCTGTGTGGCTTGTATCGAGTCTAACTTGAGAAGAGTTAGTCAAAGCTCTCAAGGCTTATTTTGTTGCTGCTTTTCCTGTGGGCAGCTTGATTTGTGCTGTTAAAATGCATTGCCAAAGATCATAATATCCTACCGTAAATATGTGATGAACAGGATTTCTATTTGAATTTTAAATCTGAATTCTAGAGTTCATAGAAATTATTTTTTAAAATGTCCTTGGCACTGATGCTGAGACATGAGGAACTGGACTTACTGCATACGTGACTTAAGTAAAATAGTCCTGGATCGTTGCTCTAAGAGCAGTGTAATGTGGCCTGTGCTGAAATAGTTGCTAAAGCACATGGTCAGCCTCGGGAGCGATTGGGGTTGTGATGACTTACCATCCTTAGCACTCTGGCCTAAACAGTACCGCCTCCAGCTGGAAGTGTGCTCATAGGAACTTGGTGGGAACTTGATGTGTAGCTTCAGAGGTTTGTATTGACATAAAAATCAGAATTTTATGCTCATTTTGTTTGTCTTTTTACTTTAGCTTCCACTGAAGATCGATATCATTAAGCATCCAAACGAAACAGACGGCAAAAGCACCGCTGTGCACGCAAAACTCTTGGCGCCCAATTCCGTGAGCATCTACACATACCCGTGCATCCCAGAATACGAAGGAAAGGACCATGAGGTGAGTGGCTTGGCACTCGGGACCTCCTGGGAGCTTGGAGCTCCATCTCCTTTCTGAACTTATTTGAACTTATTCTTAGCAATCTAGTGTTGTGCTCATTTATTGCTAAATATGCATTTTACTTCAATGATGTTTTCACAGTATATGTCTATATAATTTGAATTTATTTAGAAAGTTATATCTACAAATCACATCTGAGTTTGATCTAGTAATATGTTTGTGTATTGTTCTTTGGTCAGTTAAATACCATTTATTTGATCAATTAGAACACACCATTATAATCTCTATATATTTCTAAGACAGAGTTTCACTGTGTAGTCCATGCTAGCCTTGAGACTCAAGATCCTGTTGTCTTAATCTTGTAGATATCAAGCCTACAAGTGTGTCTCACAGTCTCCACTATATTATACTGTTGTATAGTACCATCAGTAATAGCTGTAAAAAACAACACCATTTCCTCACCTGCCTTACTTATTTTTCTCTTTCCTTATTATACAAGTGAAGATAGTATCTAGTCTTTGAATAGTTTCCAGTGGTTGTCTTTAGAAAGTATGATGTATATTGCCTTTTTTTTCTCTTTGGCTGGCCTGTAACTCTTAGGAAGCCCAGGCTGGACCTGATTTCATGTTCCTGCATCTCAAGTGCTGGGATTATAGGAGTACAGCACCATACCACAGAAATGTGTGTGTGTGTGTGTGTGTGTGTGTGTGTGTGTGTGTGTTTTAATTCAAGGTACCGTTAACTTGGCTTTGTCAATTAGTGAATAAATTATTTTGAATTAACATCTCCAGGTAGTATAATATGATTATATGCTATTAGGAAAAAGCTAAAACTTTACCATATATGGAAGGAAGCAAGTAATAGAATCAATGTAATGCTTATTTTTTTTAGACATTCATGGTCTCTTTTTCTTAGAGTTTTAAGTCAGAATTTATGTTGAAGATCACAGCAGCATGGCGCTAACCTGACTTTGTTTGTTTTAGGTTGTACTTGTTTTTCCTGGGCCTCAGTCCATCTCAATAAAAGATGTCTCTTTTCATCTGCAACAAAGGATTGAAAGTAAAAGTAGAAGCAAAACTGATGATCTTGACGTGCCACCTTTTAAACTCAAGAGAACTGAGGTGGAGGGAGGCTCTGATTTGAATGAGAGCCTGCACAAAGGTCCAGCATTGAAAAGAGTGGTCTTTATTGACAGCACTTGGAGCCAGACAAACCAGATAATCTCTGATGAGCGCCTTCGGGGTAAGGCAATGTGTCTGGGGACGTTCCTTGATAGGTTTCCTTTAGAAAAACTTCTCATTTGTAGCTCCCTGAAAAGAAAAGGTACACTCAACGTTCACATTTGCTCCGTTCCTCTTCCCCCTTTCTGTATTATGTGTGTTTATGAATCTATGTACAAGATGGGTGGAGTCATCTTAAAGTAAGCAGTAGGCTTTGCACAACTGCATTCTAAGTACTATTGCTCTTTTTAACAATAAGGACACTCCTGTGTAATAAATACAACACCGTTACCACTTTACCAAAATCTAAATCAAGGAAAATTAAATTAGGAAACTGTTCTAGATTAAGAAACTAAAGGTATACAAGCATTTAAAAGCCAAGTTAAAATGCTGTGTCGGGGAAATGTTGGGGGCTGTGAACACAGAGAGAGAGACACACGAGGACACGGGGCATCCTTGAAACAAAAGTGCCAAGAATGCTCCCTTTATTGTGTTCCAGGGCAGCTTATATAGGGATCCTTAACTGATAGCCACACCCCAGCCAAACCCACCAGAAACCCTCCCCTGCCATCAGGAACTCCTGAGAGCAGTTGCAAGCATTGGAAAAACAAATTGTTTACAGGAAATTCAGGGTCTGAGGTTGATTTAGATTTTGGTAAAGTGGTTGGATTGGTTGTTTCATATCTCATGATTATACTCTGTCTAGATATTTTGGTTAGCATACTTTTTCGATTAAAATTTATGTGTATATATGTGTGCATGTACATGTAGGAACCCATGGAGGTCAGAAGAGGGCATCTGATCCCTTGGAGCTGGAGTTGTAGGCAGTTGCAAATTTCCTAATGTAGGTACTGGGAACCGAACTTGGGTCCTGCACATGAACGGGAAGTGCTGTTAACCACTTTTCTTTTTCCAGACCCATAGTTAGGGTACTTTAAAGAAAGACTAAATCCAGGCTTGTCTACAGCTGGTCCAGTTCGTGTCTGTCATTTGTTGTTATTATTGATAGTGTGTCCTGTCCCTGTCATTCCATCCGTTGTCTGCATGAACGTTGAATTGAGGTTATATACTTACCGTTGCATTAAGTCGGGAAGCATACAAAACAAGTTGTTTCCATATTTATAATCAACTACTAATGATGGTGCTGATTGCCAGATCTCTGCACCGGAAAGGTTTGTTTTCCTTTAGTCTACTGGCGTAAAGCTTTCAGGCTGTAGACTTTCTCTGCAGTGTTTAGTATTCATGGATCAAGCAGTCATTATGTTGAGAAGTGAAAAATGGAGAAAGTTTAGTCATGCTCCTTCTTCCTGTGTTAACGGCTTTTTTGTCACTGGCCTCAGTGGTTTGGGGTAGGACTGGCTCGGCAGGTGCAGCAGAGCATCTCAAACCTGCTTTGCCTTTCTTCCTGACACAGACTTGGAATCAGCATTTTCTTAAAGACCTGTGGTTTGTTTGCTAGGATCTGAGACTAGAAGCTGAGTTCTGTCTGTCAGTCACTACAGGCTGTTTCTTCAGTGGACAGAGCTGAGGAAACATTAGGTGTGCATACTGTGAGTTCACAGTGGTGGTCCGGCTGAGTTTAGTATTATAAGAATTTCTCTTTTTACTTCTCTCTCTATGCCTTTTATGAAAACGTATGTGTATAAGTGTTTGTGTGTATATATAATGCATGTGTGCATGTGTAGGCACATGCATGCCACTGAGTGCACATGGCGGTGAGAGGATGGTGTCTGGTGTCATCGTGTTTCAGACAGAGCCTCTTGTTCATTGCCCCAGACTAGCTGTCCTAAAGCCTCTGACTGTCCCCCTTCTCTGCTTCTACTTCCATCTCACCAAAGCTGTTGGGATTGTAGCTGTGTGCTGCTACATCTGCCTTCACCCCGATTCTAGGATCTACTCAAGCCCGTGGTGTTATACAGAAAGCGCGTTACCCGCTGAGCCGTCTCCTGGCCTTGGGTCCATGTGTTGTGGGCAAGTGTGTTAGCCACTGAGCCACCTCCCGGCCTCAGGTCCGTTTGCTGTGCAGCAAGTGCATTACCGCTGAACAGTCTCCCGGCCCTGTATGCCTTTTCCCTTGAGTGAAATGCTGAACTCCTAATGACAGTTTCAATGTAACACAGTCAGTAATCTGAAGTTCAGGCTCACATACTGTTTCTTTTGTTCCTTTAGACCTTTCTCAATGTGAAACTTTAGGATTTTTCCAGTTATCGAACAGTTTATGATTAGAAGACAAGAGAGCTGCTTGGTTGGTATTGTGTGGTTGCCAATAGGTCCTTCAAGAAAAGATGTACGACAGCCTTAATCATTTCCAAACTAAAGGAAGTGTGAAGTACATTTCACTGGCTTAATTAATTTGTTAGATAACTAATTAGTTTGTACCTGTGGGTCACACGACGTTGAAGAATTTATTGTTATTTAGTAGATGAATCCATACTGCTATGTGCTCTGAAGAAGTGAGAGATCACTGCCTGCCACAGCCTCTTGGTCCCGTGACTGCAGCAAGTTACTCCTCAGTCTAAAGATTTTTCTGGGACATTTTTCTTATTATTACCTTATATGGTAATTTCTAGGTTCAAATGAATGAATACAAGTGAAAGTCCCTGAAATACCTATAAATGGAATTATTTTGGTACTGTCTTGCTAAATATAAATATTCTGGTACTATCATCGCCTAAAATGAGATTTTACTAAAGATTGTTTAATCCTTCCTGATTCCCATTGATAGCATGCCTCTCACTTCCTGCTATTTCAAAACCATGAAATCCGTCTCTAAAAGCAGCTCTCTGCATGTCCTGATTCAGCCCCTGCATTCTCTGCCTCCTCAGGAATAATGGGGATGGGGCATAATTACATATTTCTGAATAAACCAGTGGCGTATGTTTGTCTGTGAAATCATTCTTGTCTTTGTGATACATTATTTTCTAGGTTCCCATTTTAGATTGCTTATTACTCTGCAGTCTGAAGTATTCTGCTGTTGCTAAAGATGTTTCATGTCATTTTACTTCACAGTTCTTGACATGAAGTATATCCCTCTTAGCTGGTTTCTTTTAACCAGATGACTAAGTTGACAGGTGTAAGGCAGTTTCATTTATTAGTGTTCTGAGAAACCTCCACAGTGTTGTCTATAGTGGCCACACAGTTTACATTCCCACCAACAATGAACAAGCATTCCTTTTTTTCCCAGTTCCCCACCTTGTAGAGATCTTTCACTTCCTTGATTAGGTTATTGCTAGGTGGGTGGGTTGGTTTTGCTTTGTTTTGTTTTTGATTATAGTGGACTGTTTTTTCCTGATTTCTTTCTCTGCAAGTCTATTATTGCTATATAAAAAAGCTACTGGGTTCTGTATCCTTTGACTTTGCTGAACATGTTTATCAGACCCAAAAGTTCTCTAGTGGAGCCCATGGGGTGTTTTAAGTGTAGAATCACATTGTCTGCAAGAAGCAATAGATTAATTTCTTCCTTTCCAATTTTGATCTTCCCTATGTCTTTCTCATATCTTGCTGCTCTGGCTAAAACTTCAAGAATGATATGGAACAGGAATCAGAAAAATAGCACCCTTGTGTGTTCAAGATTTTAGAGGAAATACTCTGTTTTCCTTTGTTTCCTTTGTTAAACATCTTCTGTTTCCTTTGTTTAGTATAATTTTGGCTATTGTTTGTCATATATAGCTTTTATCATACTGTGGTATATTCTGTCCTTTCTTTCTTGAGGACTTTTATTATGAAGGCATGTTGAAAATAGTTAAGGGTTTATACTGGTTTAATTTAAAGAGATTCTCCTCCAAGATCCACGAGTTCACTAACCCTGGGTAAGTGCCATGAGTTCATAACTCTGGGTAAGTGGCCAGGTTTTTCGTATCAAGCATGGTTTCTCTGTTTAGTGGGTTTGTTACGTTGATTAGAGAGCAGTTGGTTGCCACCAGATGATGGGTGCCACTACTGTACCCTTAGGATATCGTGCTAAGCTGGTTGTTGTTATGGTTTGTAGATATCGTAGCTGGGTTGGACTGTTGGTTGCTTTCTTTTGGAAATTTGCATGGTTGCCTTCTGGTACCATGAAAGCTAGTACTCAGGGAAGAGACTCTTGGGCTGACACAGGGACCTCTGGACCCTAAGTCTGAAGAGCATAGTGTCTTCAACATAAGGACTTTTACCCTCCACCTCTGGGGGGCAACCAAGGGCAGTAACAATAATCTGTAATGTTGGAGTCTCTTGGACAGCATTTACCAACAACTCAAAAGAGGACTTCTCATGCCTGTTATTTTTTTTTTAACTTTCTTTTTGTTTTATTGAGAAAAAAACAATTTCCGCCTCCTCCCAGCCTCCCACTCCTCCCCCCCCCCACTCCTCTCCCCGTCCCCCAACTCCTCTCCCTCTCCCCCCACTCCTCTCCCCCTCCCTCTCAAGTCTGAAGAGCAGTCAGGGTTCCTTGCCCTGTGGAAAGTCCAAAGTCCTCCCCCCTCCCCCACATCCTGGTCTGGGAAGGTGAACATCCAAACTGGCTAGGCTCCCACACAGCCAGAACATGAAGTAGTATCAAAACCCAGTGCCATTGTCCTTGGCTTCTCAGCAGCTCTCATTGTCTGCCATATTCAGAGAGTCCGGTTTTATCCCCTGCTTTTTCAGTCACAGCTGGCCTTGGTGAGCTCCCAATAGATCAGCCCCACTGTCTCCGTGGGTGGGTGCACCCCTCTTGGTCCTGACTTCCTTGCTCGTCTTCTCCCTCCTTCTGTTCCTCATTGGGACTTTGGGAGCTCAGTCCAGTACTCCAGTGTGGGTCTCTGTCTCTATCTCCATCCATCGCCAGATGAAGGTTCTATGGTGATATGCAAAATATTCATCAGTATGGCTATAGGATAGGATCATTTCAGGTTCCCTATCTTCAGCTGCCCCAGGAACTAACTGGGGACCTCGCCTTGGGCACCAGGAAGCCCCTCTAGGTCCAACCAAGTCTCTTCCCATCCCTAAGATGGCTCCCTTAATTAAGATATGTACTTTCCTGCTCCCCTATCCAACCTTCCT